ACCCGACTGTCGGAATATTTACAAACGTCTTATTGTTTTGATTTAAATCGCGAAACATTATTATATTACGTGGAAACATCATGCGAAATGATGGATAATGCTGATAACGATAATCGTGATTCATGAGTGTTTCTGCGATGACAAACAATAAATGTCGTGAATTCGTTTTCACGTGAACAGTCATCAAAATTCTAAACGCTATGAACGTTTTCATTATGAGTTGCACATTTTTCGGTAATACGATAGTGGACATTTTTTTCTCTCCGATCGATCAAAAACCAATAGTTGAATTCAAAGAACTTGAGAAACAGTTTTTACTTTTTTCACCCTCCAAGCAACTATGCGATTTTCAGTGTCGATAATAAAAATAAAAAAATATGTATATGAAAATATGACTCATAAAAGCAATGGGTTAGCGTTGAATCGTAATTAGATACCCGCTTGAAATTTGATGTACTAAATAAATTTTAAAATCGTGTTATCAAAATAATGAAAATAATTATACGTAGCCATGGAATGGCATTAATGTACGTTCAACCATTTAATAAAAACATCAATTTTTGCGTTGATTTATTTTAGAAGAAGAAAGGGGACGACATGCACTGTTAAGAAGTGCAATACTGTTTCGCATCAATATAATATCATTTACAGTGTTAGTTTTTTTAAAACATTTTTAAAATAAATATTGTTTATACAAATATTGAACCGTTTAAAATCGCATTTTGATAGAAAGTTAAACAAATATACAAAGATCGTAAACGATTCGAATAGTATTTTATACCAAAAATCTCTATAATCCATAAAGAGTTTTCACTTGGACAAGCGATTAATGGACCTCAACATAATGTTAATAGTGGAAGTACTCGGTATGATGTAGTAAACGACAAGCTAATGAAAAATGAAAGCATAACAGAACAATAGGCCGAAGGTTTTTTCTCGTTCAACAGCAGAATACGAAAGAACATTTAACCTGATTCTTATTAGTTTTACAGATTTTAAAACATGTCACAGTATTATGATTAAGTGCCGTATCAATTTTTGTTTATGAATAATAACCAATCTCATAGTAAATTTAATTCTAGATTTTACGAACGCGAAAGCTGGTCGGTAAAACGTAAATTTCTGTGCTGACGACATTAGATCAAGAAAAACACGAAGTATGGTATAAGTGGCGTCTACAGGCAAAGGTACTTGCCAGAATGAAAGTCGAAAAAAAATATTGAAAATTTTAAATAGACGAAGCAGTTTTACTTATTCGCTTTAACCCTGACACAACTAACAGATTACTGCGAACCTAATAGTTACTGCAACTAAGTGTGTACCCAAGAATTTGATTATTATTATGGAACAATGAACGCGAGTACCCTATTAAGAAGGCCTAATAGGGTAGATTTTTCCAAAAAGAAACTCTATACATGCATGTACCGTCAACTCGTTTACTCTGTCGACGGCTTCCAACGTTGAATATCATTTTATTTGAATCTACAAGAAGTAACGATTTGATCAGTGATCGTCTGCTAGACATGCGTCGCATATTCCCGTATATTTAACGGAAATATTAACATTAATTAATTTTCCTCCGTCGAGATACGAGTTCGGTATATGGGATAGTATAACCGGGCTGCTGAAAACGACTATAGAATGTATTATAAACTGCGACCCGTATTTATAATTCAAATTACCTCTTGGCCGATAAATATATATTATCAACACTAACGGGCAAAAAAAACGAATGATATTCCATTTTCTATTAAGCTGAATAATGTTGGCCACTGTTGAACTAAAGGTCGAATCTGACGTAGGGTATACGTGCGCACAAAAGTTTTGGCGGAGATCGGGGTTTAAAATTGTGTGCACTAGCACACTTTTTGTGCATTGTACAAAAAATAAAGTGGCTGTGCTACGTACATTTGAAAGCGTATAGTAATATTTTTCCATTCGTTGAAATATTTAATGCACTCGTAACAGAATACTTTATTATAAAATGCACTAAAGAAGCAAAACTGTTTTTGATGTTGAATACATCTGTTTTGTTATTAAATAAATTCTTATTCTTAATAATGTATATTTTTTTTATTTTTTAAATTATTTTCAAAAAATAAATATACAATTTAGATAAATAGGCACATTCGTTATAATTTTATTATGAATTTCATATGCAATTCAATGTATGAATATATGAATTTTAACTAAATTGTTATCAAATTTTAATCATTCATAAAAGTGAATTAAAAACATAAAAACGCTATAAAAATGTCACAAAATGGTCCATAAAGTAAAAAAAACTCTTAAGAATTCGAAATAAAAGTTACATTTTTAAATTTCTCAGTGTATGAACTTTGTGTTTAGAAAGCAATGTTTTCGGACATTCGGAAAAACAATGAAATTTGTATTCAAAACTAAATATATTATATATGGTAGTAGAATGTGCGCGATCATTGTTGCCGTACTGTGGCACAGCACTTTAAAAATAGAATTCGTCAAGCAATAGAAACAGATAGACACTAATCGTTATATTATCCGTGTTGGTAACCTTACGACATCGTGTTGCGTTTAATTATTGAAGCCGAAATATTTCAGTTATTTCAGATACACTTAGCCGCTTACTATACTACTGTGCCCTGTCGATACATCAAAGCGCATTGTCAATAATTAAAAAAAAATGGATAGGGTAATAGGGTGGAGGAGCTGATCATACTTGGGGCACATACACCTGGAAAATCCGGCCCAGGGCCATAAAATTTTATTTATAAAGAAAATAGCTTTTCAAACGGGTAGCCCGTCTAACCAGTGCGTGTTGATAGGTGTAGCAGGCCCGTCGTCAGATATTTTCTACCTTAAAGCGAAAATTCTATGGTCACTGTTTATCAAAAATATTACAAATTAGAATCATAGTATCATGTAATGATTTACAGTCATATATTGAACTGGTGGAGCCACGATAATAGTAAAGATGCACAACAGTAATTATTGTCGTACGTTGTCGATATTTATTACATTTTGCTATTTTTGCTTTCTTTAAAAAAATCTTATGCCGCCCTAAAGCATGACTTGCTTGTGCTCTACGAGCGTTTAAATGTTTCATTTAAAACGAGCAGTGCGCGCAACGGTAAACTGAACATTTACTCGGCTTTTCGACCGTTCGCGGGAGATACAAATCCAATGCGAGACGAGTGCCAGTGTAGACTTGCCGAAGCTCTAGATATTGTTTCCGACCCAATAATTACAATCGGTACCAAGTCGCCTGGTACTACGTGGTCGTCATGTCGTCACTTTATCGCGTGGTGTACACTGCGATGGGTTCGGTATTGTCCGCGGTAACCTCGGAGACGACCGCGATAACTACGACAATAGTATAATACCGTGTTCAGAGTCGTCCTAAGGATTTCCAGGGCCTGGGACCCGAGTTTACAAAACGTTCGTCAGTATTGTTCGCCAAACTTCAACCAATTAAAGTCATTTAAATGCGTTCGTGCAACGAATCACGTTTTAATCTAATTCTCAACAATGTAAAAATTCACTTTATTCCTGGGCAGTTTATAAACGGCCGTAGCAAATAAGAGCTTGGTCGATACTGGCGGTAAAGAATTTCTACGTATATTTGGGTACAATTTCGTCATTCTTCGCACTACTGTAATAAATTACAGTTGTTCGGATATTAGAATAATTGAAAAATGTGACCTGTATAATAACGCTGTTAAGTTAATTGTATTAAATTAAATTTATTAATGTTTCGTGAAGAAAGAATTGTTTAAAAATAATATATTAATATTAATAATCTTTAATAGGGGACGACGTCCAGTATTATTTTCAATCAACCTGGATTAACCCGTTTAGATTTTCCTAGACTGGAGGCAAAATGGTCTCCTCTTACCTGGCGATGACCCTGATCGTATTCATTTTTGTGATGGCCCAAATTTCGTGGTTGATCGCGCGATAGAGTCTCGGTCGTGAATAATGTTGACGATACCATAAGGTTATTTCAATAACGCCGGATATTGCTGCAGGAAGAGCATTGTGTTTTATTGTTTTAGTGTTTCGCGCTGCGTGAATACAATAACCTTTAACTAGTGTTCGGACTTATCCGGATGAATTATTTCTATATAGTTATTTGTTCGTATATTATCTTAACTAGGTAAATAGTTACAAGGTTAGTACAAACATTTATCTTTGATGAATATTCGATCAACAAAATTCTGTAAACAAATGTATTACATTTTTATTTAAACTCTCAAAGTTTATAAGTTATTTTACATTAATTATACAGTTTACGAAAATGTATAAATACCAACAATAGTGCTTTTTATCTTTCGGAATGCCGATAGGTAAAATGTTTATCATTGTACGATTATAAATTGAAACTGTACTGCTATTCTAAGAACGGCTGTTTGCAGTTATCAACGTATTAATTATTAATAACATTTGCCCTACGAGTACCCTAGAGTAAGGGTACGGTAATTCCAACGGTAATTAACTAATCGTAAAAATACATCATTTGTTTTTACCAGTTCTTTATTCGTTGTTTCGTAAATAAATAATGAAATCCTAAAAAAAATGTATAACCTGTGTTTGAGCACATAAATTTGGTATGATGTTGTAAAACGAATGAAATAATAATAAAAGAAAACTTACGGACATTGGTTTGCGTCCGTTTAAAAAATGATATCTTTATCGTTATCTAGATGAAACAGTGTTCATCTTTATCGGTATCTTTATCTGGATAAAAAATACCTCGTCTGACCCGAACATCGCCCGTAACGTACGGGAATAGTTTACGTCGCGTTTGAACCGCACTATCGGCGGCGATAACTCGCTGTCGCATAGATGGCGCGGCGGTCGTGAGCCGTTAGGTGGCGCGTTGATCGTACGGCGGTACCGTCCCGTAGGGCGACGCGCGGATGGTGTACGGCAAGAGGGGGTGAAGGGAACGCCGCCGCCGTGTTGGGCACGCGGCGTTGCCGGACCGTTGCGCGCGCCTAGACCGTTCTCACCATCGCGACAGCTCGTCAGTATCGTACTGTCCGCCGTACTGCGATCGTCTATCGCTGTGTTGCGTGTTTGTGCCATACGCGCGTCCGTCCGCCGCCCCCGTCTGTTATTTCGGTTTCGTTCTCGATTCGAACGAGTCTCGACCGGTCGTTTTTCCATCCGTCCGACGCGCACGTCCACCACTACGTCCGTATCCTCTGTCCGGAACGCGACCGCATCGCCTCTCGATCGCCGACCGCTACGATCCGCTCGCGTCTAGATGGTCCGGGCCCGCAGTCACCCGTCGTCGTCGTCTTGATCATGTCGCGGCCACCGCCGCCCGCCGGATGACCGTCATCGCCGCGCCGACGACGCGCTGTTGACACCGACAAAGCAACAGTACCGCCGCTGTTTCTATTTTCTCCGACCCACCGACGGATCGGCGCGAGACAGTTGTTCCTTTATCGCGAGTCACGTTCATCCCCCGACCCGGGTCTTGCGCGCTATTGTTTTCGCGCTCCCGTTCGCCCGCCGACGGACAAAGTTCGCCGCACACCCCGACGCGCGCCATGGTGCTGTTCGACAACCTGTTCGGGTTCCCGGGGCTGCCGGGCTGTCTGCGGTTCTTCTCGCCGCCGGCCGCGGCCATCACACGCCGACGGTCCGCCGCTACGATGCGCGGCGTCTCGTGCACCAAGATCACGTCGTGCCTCACGCTGGTCCTGCTCATATGCTTCGAGACGGTCCTGCTGTCCACGGTCAGCGACTGCACCAAGTCCTTCACCGTGCACTGGAACACGTCGAATTCAATGTGAGTACGTTTAACGGTATTACAACGGCTCCTCGAACGACTCGTCTGTCCCTCCTCCCCCAACATCACATTTTTTGCCCGACAGACCGCACCGGACTCGTGTGTACCCCAGTATATATATATTATACACGTAAACATGTACCGTTGACCGTTTGTACGAAAACCGCTGTGATCCATTCTAGGTACACACACACACATATTATCTGTTGATATTTTTGCACTGGGTACACTGTTGTTTCGGATGGTCGGTCGTCGTCGAAATTGTTCTATTTCGATTTTATTACTATTTTAATTATATTGTTATTAGTGTTATTAATGTTATTATTTGTACGTTTAATCGATACGTCTTACCTGTTCACAATGTCCGTGCATGTACGTACGGCGATGTTTTATTATTATTTTTTATTTCGTATATTTACGTCGTCCCGTGGTCGACACGTAGTAACCGCGCGCGGTTTATGGTTTAACAACGAGACCCTTCCGTTATGTATCGATTGTATTATTGTAATACAGTTACGCGGCCAGGGTTACGAGATAGACCGATGCGCGTAATAATCGCGTTTTTAAACCATCGTCGTATTCGTCGAAACAACGTTTTTCACCGTAACCCCTTAGACGACACATTTCGATATTCATAATTCTCGCCGGAAACAAAATTTGAATGTTTATGACTTTTTTTTTTGTAATTTTAGAATAAGAAAAAATTGTAATTGTTCGTCTGCTCATAATTTTGCTCGTGTTCGCGCGTGTACGTACGTGCAATCCCCCCGCGGAACAAAAACTCGTTTCGATAATGAGCAGTGACAGACGTGATGGAAATATCCGTGATGAAAGAAACATTGAACTTGACGAGATGAGAGGAGTAATGAGCTATAGGTCAGGGCGGTAGGTCTTTCTCCGCGCACCACTCTCGTCCTTTCCGATCTATCGGCGCGACCACGGCATACGCCTAATAGTCCGTGGTTCCTGGATACCGCCGTGCATTGGTGGAGGCTTCGACGGTAATTTTTTCTCTCCGTCATTTCCACTTAATCAGGGCTGTTGGGGGTAAAACAAAAAGGAAATCGCGTAATTTTTCCGATCTGTAATCCAAACACTGGTAAAATAAAATTGTGCTGTATATTCGTGTCGACCACGGTTCGTTGTAACATCCAACCCAATTACGCGCGTTCTGCGCTGTAGACGAAAAACTTTTCAAATTAACACTTGGTCCAACGACTTTAACGTCGGACGGTATAGTAGCAACAGACGCGCGTACGCAATTGCTTTGCCGACAGTTCGAGCGGTTGTGATTCTAAACTGGCTAAACTCCAACATAATTTACCTAGGTCGACGAATTTTTACCACTAGTTCGGCGAATTCTGATATATGTTTTTAATCAACCGTCACCGCTGTTGGTCCAACTCGCACGAACACAGAAAAGTTTCGTAAATCACTTTCGAAACATATGTAGTACGTATTCTGCAAATCGATTCGACAGAAGACGCGTGTACGACGCGATGGACCGCACTTTATTTTCTTCTCTTTATCCGTTGACGCATTGTCGAACCGGCTACGTGGTCATTAGAGGTTTACTAGGAAATGAATACTGCAGTCGAACCAAATACGCCGGATGCTTATTACGATCACTAGTTTTTTTTTCTTTCTCGACGTGTGCACGCGTCGTGTATTCTATTTTGTATTATATTTCTTTGTCGTCCAAATCGTGACGTAACGACCGTTGTTGTTCATCACAACAGAAATATTATTAAAAACCGGAACTTTTGAAAATACTAATACAATTCGTTTCCGCGTTTATTTTGTTGTTTTAATGTTACCGGTTAAGGTAAAGCAAAAACAACGAACTCGATACGACAAAATTATAAACTATTGTGTTGTTGTCAGATGCTTGGATGTATATTATGTGCGTACAAAATTAAATCTGGGAAATTTAAATGGTGTGAAAATATCGGTTATCCGATGTTATTCGTTTTCCGTTTTTTTAGCATTTGCTGCTCAATATTATATGTTAACCATTTAATTCGTCTCGTTAAAAATGTCTTCGCTAATCATATTCCAACAAAGTTTTATAAAAATTAACTCGGCGCACGCATGCAATACTACTACACACGTCTATCATGATATGTATTTATATTTCTCGAACAATCCCGAGTAATTGTTGTTTTCGTGATTTTGGTCATTATATTAGACGTGTTTCCACCTCATGTGTTGGTACACACCATGTACACATGTACGATACAGGCACCCTTTAAATGTAGTGGTGTACGGTGGGGATGACAAAAGCAAATGTTTTAAATATGAAAAAAAAATACTACCTGCCCAGTAAAACGGATTTTAATACTATTATTATTATTATTATTATTATTATTTTATACATGCATCATATACTTGTATTTTTACCGATGATAATATTCTCTTCTCGGGGGCCCCGACCGTAACCGGTTTCGATCCGTCCGCGTGTGTCCGAACAGAGGGAGTTTGTGTGTGAGTGTGTGTACGTTAACCTTGGGAATTTGATGAATGTTCATGATTCCTCCGGACGCGCTCCGCAATGCCGTGTAAAGAGTTCTCCTGACCAACAAGCAGGGAAACAAACGGAGTGTTTTTTTTATTTTGTTTTTTATTTATTTTTTATCTCGTAACACTTTTTCATACCCCCGCCCAACCTGGTCAAGCATATATACGTGTATATACATATACCTACATTATAATGAATCGATAGTATTTGATAAGACGACCGTGATTTATACGTCCCATGTTCATCGGGAAGTCCGTGAGAAAATATACCGAAAAAATTGTTGCTACGAGATTTGAGAGCGTTACATTAGTACAGATATTGGATAGGCTATTACGAATAAAGGTTGGTATGTTTGTATATTGTTTTGGTTCGTTATTCACGTGTGTCATACTCTTGTCGTATCAAGCACGTTTAAAATAAATGTATAGTGAACATTGAACGTTTTTGCATAATGAATTTGGTTCAACTGTAAAGCTTAGATTGTTTTTCGATTGTTTTGAAATTAACAGAGTATCAGCTTACTTACATATAACAGTATATACCTATTTAGATTTATTTAAGATTTTATAATTATTCTTTTTCGTGAGTAAATGATCTACTTATGGTATAAAATTATATTTTTACATTATAAATAAATTTTTTTTAATACACATGATAACAACTGACAATATATATAATTTTTTTTGGTTCTGCATAAATATCAAATAGATATTTTTTACTTTTTGTTAACATAAATACAATCGAAGCAAAAATGTCCATTATCATACAACAATTTAAAAATGAATAACAATGATAATTATTTTATTCTTATAATTTAATATGGATTTTATGCTGTGGTACAAAAACAGTTCATATAATTAGGTGAATCGATTTCTCTGAAATTAATTTTAATATCTGTCAACAGTATACTAAATTACTATATAAACCGAATTAATTGTATATTAATTACGATTGTTGTTTCATTGTTATTGTTACTGTTTTTTCTGCATAATTATCTTCGTATATAGTATAAAACATCGATTTTTATTTACCTACCTATTACATGTTGGACATTGTTGCTCGTTTATGTGCATTTTTCTTTTGCACGCAAACAATATTTATAATCAATTTAAAGTATTATCAAAAATCTACATAATTTACACATGCTTCTCAGTAGCCTAGTTGAAAACACACGAACACCTTCGTTGGTAATAATACGGCCACAATATACCCCTTTTAGGTAATGTGTCTTGATAATAAAAAAATTTCTACCTAGGGTTTTCAACGTCTAGAATTAATAACAAATATAATTTTTTAATTTGCGTAGGCGTTTAGCGACTATTATATACATGTACATATATATATATATATATATATGTATGTACCTACTTATTTAAATTACTTATCTATCCTCCCGTACTTGAGCTGTATAACTTATACATTTACTATAAAATAGTCTACGTATATTATTGACTCTCATCAATACCCATAAAATATACTTACATTTTTTTCTTTTTAGTCTTGTGATATACGAATTTAATATAGGTATCTGATTATAGGCTTTAATTTACTAATAATTATTATCGAAGCATATTCGATGTATCGCAGTGAATCGGAAAACGATGCATGAACTTATCTCATTGTCGTTTTCTGATCGAGAAAAATATTACAATATATAACTTTTTATTTTTTTAATAACTTTAAGTACAAGACTATAAAAGTTAGACAGTTAAATAAAATTTACAATTGTGCGAACAACGTTATAAAATAACGTATTATGAGATTAGATTGTTTGCACTAGAAAAAAATATTTAGATATAATATGATGAATGGAGTTATATTAATTATTACTTAAAGCTGTAATAAAAACAAAAAAAAATATGATGAATAATTGTTGGATAATGAGCGAAGTATTATTAGCTATGGAGATAAACGTTTGTGTAAAACCTTGGTTAGTAGGATCATTAATGGACCAATTACAAAAATTAAATTGGAAATAAATTGTGATATCATATTTGAAACGATGTTGAGTGGAAAATTATCAGAAGTAATTTTTTAAGCATAAGATTTATGCTGAGGTTGAGCATAAACTCAATAAATAATTTCTTTAAATAAATTTTATTTTGAGTTTAACACCATTGGTGACTGATTGCTCGAGAAGGGTGCGAAAATCGGTCTACTCATGTTTTATATACATAAATATAAATGTAAATAAAAGTCATCAACCCTGCCGCATACTAATTATGCCAGGGTCTCTGTACATCTTTCTCTCTCTCACTCTCTCTTTGCACGGCTTTTAGCTATTTCGCGGTATGATGTTCATGCACTTTCCGAGAGATTATCCAGATCTCTCGGTCGGTCTCGGTTCGGGCTGTGGGTGATGTCGAGACAGCGCGATAGAGTCTAAGTATAGTAGTGGTTGTCGGGTAGCAGAAGTGAAAGACGACCGACGACTTGGGTAAAAGTGTCAAATCGTCCGTCGTGACACTTTTCTCCTTCCGTC